CATGGAATTCATTTTCTAATTTCTCTGCCAACTCTTCAAAACTGTAGTTACAAATCTCAAAAATCCTATTTTTTTAAAAATATTTGTCACATAAAATGTTTAGACCTTCCAAGAGAAACAGAATTATCTCCCCTTAACAGTAACAGACACAACCACACTTCTGCAACCAGCAAAGGTCATAAAGAATTAGTTCTTTCTTTTAAAAATTCATTTGCAGACACGAACCACTTGAAAACAAATTGAAGAATAGTATGGATACTCACATAGTATATTTTCCTTTTCAACACTGATGACAAATTCCTTTAAGGTGGACATCCTTAAAAATTGGATTTCTATTTCCTTAATTTTTCAATATAAAACAACAAGGTGATGACTATCCCCACTGTGATAAATATGTATATCTTGTAACCCATAATCCTAAGCAATATAATCATGTTTTTCTCGTTTGTTATGACATAAAGCTACTTGTTATGAAGGTAACAGCATATGTGCCAAAACATCACGATAATGGTTTGACCCTGAAGCTACAAGGTCAAGGACTACAGTCCTCATTTCATCCAGAACAATTCTACATCCTACAATACTAAGCAAAGATCTATTTACAACATTTACACAAACTGCTACAAGCATTTGTATTTGCATATGGGTCAATGTCAGGTCTACGATTCAAGCATTGACTCCTCTGCATATGCAATGACCATCTTGACCTGAAATAACTTTCAGTAAGTCAGGCCTCCATCAAGGAAACAAACCGTAAACAACCCAAATATTCTGCTCTTCACTTTTTAAGTGAGTAGGAGGGTTTGGTTTAACACTGCTTGCAAATGTGTTTCACTAAAATACTGCAGGTCATTTTGATGAAAGAGGAAAGATCACGTGTTGCAGGTCTTTACTCCACAAGCATGGGTAAAGAGGTGGTAAAGACATAAAACCTAAGGGTGAATCTGGGATTCAAACTGAGATCATAGGTACCTGGCACGTACAAGGGAGGCAACTCTGTGCATTGTTTGCATGACATGTACAAGGGAGGCAACTCTGTGTATTGTTTGCTAAGGTTACACAACACCAAATGTTTTCCCATAGACTTTCATAGTTACGTTATATTTTTTCTTAAAATTATCCAGGGCCCCGTTTTTACAAAGCTCTCGTAAGCCCAAGATCTCGTAACTTTCCTCGTAGCATTCCTACCTTCTATACTGTAACATTGACTTACGATAGTTGTATCGCTACGAGAGACTTGTGAAACGGGGCCCAGGCTATTAACAGCCATTCCATGTACACATGGGTACAGTCTGGCCTTTAAACAAAAACACAGATTCCATTTAACTTAACCTGCCAATTATCCGATCTCAGGAAGCTGAACACATCAACCCCAGTTCCACACCAATGTCACCTACTTGAAAATATCTGTACACACAATAAGCATAAGTCATGGTGATAAAAATGACAGTACTAAATACTTAAAATTGTGGTAAGATTTAATTACTGGATGGATGTGCTTTTAGAAAACATAAACATCTTACACTATTTCATCTAATCACAGCTGTCACATATCTCTATCTGACCTGATGTTTGCACACAACACTGGCTCAGTGAGCAAGTGATTCTGATTTAATGTAGTAGAACCCTAAGCTTTGATGACTGGACCTGCCCCCACGTGCTTGTCATGGCATTCATATGCTGAATGCAATACAGGCTATTATAAAATATATTACTGTAAGTAACATGCATGCTGAAGGAAAGAACTTGTCTCCCAGAACATTGGCTTAAGATCTTTAACATTAAAAACATTTACAGCAAAGATGTTTCTGTCAGTTCAATCATAGTAAACGAACACAGTAGACTGACACACCACTTCAGGTCAATGTGACCATACCCAAGTTGTATGTCCAACTTCAAGCTGATGTCTACTTGTATACTAAGATCAGCTCAATAATTGTCTATAAACTAAAGAACATGACATACTAATAGGGATGTACATTGATACATCAATGCATCGATACTTTTTCTAAGACGATACAATTATCTATACAATCAAAACTGTATCGATATTTAGTTTTGAAAGTATTGGTTTAAATATGTTTATGTATCGTTTACATTTTGCAATTGTATCATGTTTTTTGATGTTTTGAGAGTTATAAATGATTATTTTCCATGCACAAAGATGGGAAATTAGAACTTCTTAATCTCTGAGAATCAAAAATGTTTATCTTTTCATTGACAATTATATAATATGAAACATTAATGTTCAAAATGTAACTAAATTTACGTACCGAATCGTGACATGGGTATCGTGATACATATCGATTCGCAAAACTTATGTATCATGACATCCCTACATACTAGTAATACAATTTCATGCAAGTGGATTAGGTTTTGGCACAGGCTGACAACTTAGAATTTGACATAATTGAAAATATATGGCTAGGTCAGTATTGTTGGGGTATATTTTAAGCAGCAAACACATGGCAACAGTCTCTATAGGTCAATACTAGTGTCGAGACACCGAGGGTGGATCTGACAACCCATAGTCAAGGGACATAACTCTGCTTGCTGGAAACACTGGATCCATTTACCCAACATGATAATGAACAATGAGAAAGGAGGAAGAAAGACAACAAAACGTGCCATGTCATATCATTATCAATAGACAATGTAATGTACAGAGGCCTACATCCAACAACTTATGTCCAAATATATCATATTTATGCAAAAATGGATTTCAATATAGCAACAAGAAAATTATCTTCTAAACATGTGCTTTGCAGATTCATAGAGGATTCTAAACTAAGTGCCTTTGCAAACAAACTTGGAAATAAATCACAATTGTGCAAAATTGGGAATTTTCTAAACTTCAGAGGTATTACATCAAAGTAATTATACATCCTCTTTCATTCTACCTGTTCTCAGTGAAATACAAGCCACTTCTACAAAGCCCTACTGTTAGTTTTGTCTATACTGATGTTAAAAGTGAAAATGTAGATTCCAATTTTTTTGATATTAGCTTCTGATTTGGGGCCAAATATCAGCCTATGACAACACCCACATATGTCCCTGTATGCTTGATAATAAAAGCTGTGGGTGGGTTGGGCTTGTAATGTTTGTGACAATTACATCAACACTGGTTGATTTCTGCATTGTTACTGCAGGGGTGGAAATAACCCATTGCCTGACGTCCGAGTCCAGTGTTTTTTTCTGTTAGGCAAGCAAATTTGTATATCACACTGTACCCGTGTCCAGTTGACTTTCCAATGTTAATTATGTTGTTTATTTTAAAAAATCAACAAGAAAACGGACGGTATAGTGGGAAAATTATCAGGGCAAGTGATTTTACATTTACGGAGTACACTGGCAATTTTAAAGTTATTTCCACCCCTGCCTAGCAAATGCATACAACTGTCAACTTTGTGAATAATAATAAATGGTCTGATTTTACCTTGAAAGTTATCCTAGGATTAAGTTCCTCCCCTGATATTATGTCAAGGCATATACCAATCATCAAAAAGTGAGTGAGTCTGTCATGTCAGTATACAACCCCCGTGACAGGCATTGTTGATTTCATCAACTCACATGTCAATTTTGAAGTCAAGATGTCAGCAATTCACATCTTTTGTTACAAGCCTTATTATGTATTTAGAGATGAACTACAGCAGTATATAATCAATATATAATCAAACAAAGTCACACTTTAAGTTTGAACTATAGTCACGGTAACACTTTGGTTTTCAAAGTAAGATCGAAGAACATACATAATAAAGTTGGATATTTCTTTTCAAATAACATGTTTTTATCATTGTATGTTTCATGTAAGTATCAGTAGGACACTGTCAACATGTTTGTGACACATTGCAAAGTGAATGTTGAACATAACTATTACAGCAAATGTGCCACAATCACCACTCATTAGTAACTTATTGTACAAGTCAGCTCCATACATGTGTGTAGGTATCGAAAAGAAAACAGTAAGTAGGTCGTTAATCATTTCAACATCTCATTTCAATTGTTTTATGTCACATATAAATTTATATCTCCTGACATTTCAGTCGACCTACAGCAACCCATTGATTCATTCCTGTGGTTCCTGCACTGTCAAATTACCCACGAATCTTGGGTGCAGATAAGGAATAGGGACAGAGGTAAGGGTGTACTTGCAACCGCCATTAATTATAAACATGGAGATACCTTTCCATCTAAACAGTTTCTTCTTGTTAGTGCGAGTCTTTCAGTGTTGAATTTGTCCCAAGCTTCATCACTGTCAATGTTGTTGGTATTACCACCCCAACACCGAGTCTGGTTTGTAATGCATTGTGGTCTGTCTGTTAGATTGACATGCATAGCAAATTTAAATGAAACAAAGGAAGTCAAGGGTAGATAAGATTGCAAGAGCTAATGAAATGAATCCAGGGGTTGGTGGAGGTTTAGTGAGTGAGTGAATGAGTGAGTGAATCAGTGAGTGAATGAGTGAGTTGGGTTTTATGCCGCTTTTAGCAATATTCCAGCAATATCAAGGCCTGGGGACACCAGAAATGGGCTTCACACAATATACCCATGTCGGGAATCGAACCCGGGCCTTCGGCGTGACGAGCAAAAGCTTTAACCACTAGGCTACCCCACCGCTCCGGTGGAGGTTTAGAGATATATACTGGAAGAGATACAAGTAACAAGTAACAAGTAAATATCCCCAAACGCTGGGCAGATACTTCATGCTACATGTGAACAATCCTTCATCAAGCCCTGGTAAGTGACTAACTGTAAATACTCAGGTAAGTACTAGTGTTGGGATTTGGTTAAAATCTTATAATTGATGATTGGTTCATCACAAACGATCAATCATTGAAAATAATTGGTTAGCGTCATTTATCAGATCTTCCTGTTATGTTTGTTAATACACAAAGGTTTGGTTGTTTTTTTTCAAATTGCAGAAAATCCAAATGCAAATTTCACATCTTTAAAGGATTACTAGTATGTTAGGAACATAAATTTCCAGGAGTCTATAAGATAAATTCAATCATGACTTGGAAGGAGCCTTTAGTGCTTGTGAAAAATATTGTTAATGCAAACAAGTTATTCAAAACTGTTAGCGTTACATTATGATAAAATGCAATTGACTGCTTGGTCATTTAGTCACTGCGACCAATCTTCGATTATTTCAATTAATCGGACCACCACTAGTAAGTACTCAGTAATCATGTACAGTCTCATGAATTACAATTCAGAAATAACTAACAACAAACCTATCTCTTGAACAAGTGAGGTGCACAGAATCACACCAAGGTCGATATGTATATCATAGTAGCCCATCTCGAACCACTGTGTAGCATCTTGAGCACTTGGTGCTCATGGTCACTTCATCTGTTAAGATAAATGTCTGTTTCTGCAATCTCATGTAATATATCTGGTGCTATGGTGATATCAGTCAGTTGTAATGCATATCCTGTCACTGACTATCCTTAGGAAACTGATATCAAGGTGTTGATATCAACATACAAAAGGTTGATGCCATTTCTTGATATCCACATTGAGGTGCTTGATATTCATCGAAGGTGTGTGACATATACATGTTGATATCAACAGAGTTGCTTGATATCAGCACTGAGTTCATGATATCCATATTGATTAAGCTGATATCCATGCAGAGATTCTCAATATTCACACAGAGGTGCATGATAACACATACATTGTTGCTTGATACAAGATTTCCTTGATATCACCTTTGAGCTCTTGATATCCATGTTGAGTAGGTTGATATCCATGTAGTATTGATATCCAAATAGAGATGATGTTGAGCTTTCTGACAACAATATTCAATATGTCGACATCAACATGCAGCTGGTTGACAAATACAGTGTCTTGCTACGTATATGGAGCTGGCTGATATCCATTTACTACTGCTGAAATCTGTGTCTGGCCAATACTTGGTAATATAATACTCTTACAGTCTATTGCACACACCAATTGTAGGCATTGAGGAACATCCGAATCCATGGTGAATATGTGTTGTCCTCCCGCCATTCATATGGCATCCACGGACACTGCCACGTGAGGAAGCATCTCTCTGGGTGGGGCATTATTGCCAGATGGCGGCCATCTTGAGAACACACGGCTGCGATCCCATCTGGAGAGCCATTGGGGTTGAGAGGGTAGCTGGTTGTCGCTTCACCATCATCATTGACGTAACGGACCGGCGCAAGGTTGTTGGAGAGGATGTCATGATGTAAGCCATCTGTCTTGAATACCATTTTGCCTAGAATGATAAATGTTACAAAAATTATCAATTCTTTAGAATGTAAGACCGAGTTTGTCTTATTGTTTCCCACCAAAACATCTAGAGACAAGATGGTCCAGTTGACAAGTGATCATTGGTTTTATCTTGATTATATTAGGTTTGTCCTGATTATGGTATTTGGTTTTTTCCAGTGCCAAACATATGGTCCTGGATTTCACCAAAATGGTAAAAATGTAAGGCCTTCATCACTTTGGGTAAAGATCCTATGTTACGTTGACATGAGATTCATTTAATCGATAAACAGGTAAAGAACAAACCATGCAAGAATGATTCTGATGACCACGGCCCTTATTCGCGAAACGTTCGTAGCCCTAAACATTCTTAACTTTGATTGTAGCAACTGTGATAAGAATGGGCTTAAGAAGTTCGTAGGACTACGAATGTTTCGAGAATTGCTAGCCTGATCCCTATCTAAGTTGCCGTCTACAAGGAGGATGAATTACTGAGGATCTACTGGCATGGAAACCCCCCAGACAGACAAGCATGAAATACTCACATACCCATGACAAGCATCAATTACACACACACAAACATATGAACCTACTTGGACACTAGCATCAGATATTGGGGACCTTCTCATCTGAATCCCCTATTTGTACGTTTCTCACCTTCACCATGAGACACCCACATGCCGAATGTGGTCCCCTCCATCCCAGTAAGCATGACTGCCGGGCTCTCCTGTACCTGCACTGTCACGAAGCGGGACTCGTAGCGCTCGGAGGCGTTGTGGTCCAGCAGCAGACCCTGCTCACTCGTACCCTCTTCTGCAACACGATCAGGACTACACTCAGATGGGTAAATGTAAAACAGCTGATTTATGACTGATTTAAACATATTTTATTCATGAGGTGAGGTGAGGTGAAATTGGGTTTAACGTCGTGCTTGAGAATATTTCGCTCATATGACGACGTGCATGCCTGTGTATGTGTATGTGCCGCTGCTTGTACTAGCCCAGACTTAAGCTGGTTTTATAGTGCTAGCCCACTCCGATACCATGCCGCAGTGAAGCATGAATACCCCACTCAGACACATTATACTGACTCAGAGTCGACCAGTCCTTGTTGTACCCATTAATGCCGAGCGCCAGGCAGGGACCAACAAGTACCATATTTTAGCGTCTTTTGGTATGACGCGGTCGGGGAACTTTATTCATGAAAGGAAAGGATTGGGCATAAGTTATCTATCTGAGAAAAGCCATTTCCCTGCAGTGACCTGGATATATTTGCAGTATAAATAAACAGTGTAAGAAACAAGAAAACGCACAGAGGAAATAATAAAAGGAGGCAATGCAATAGAACATGTGTTTTATTAGATCTGAAACGCGTGTGAAGAATCGGTGATTTCCAGGTTGCCAAACATTCTTCATATCCATGATTTATTTTTTATCACAGAAAATATGCAGAATAAGTATGTATTTTTCATGGAAAATCTTAAAAATGTTTCTGCAGAAATCTTTAGAACTTTGTGGGTATTTCTTCTAAGCTGATCTAAGTTTAATGACAACAAAATTGTCTAAATTTTTATGCCGAAACATTTTTCTGAAAGCATGACAAAAAAAGAAATGATTAAACAGACGAACCCACAAAGATACTGATGACAATGGAGGTAAATCTTTTCATCAGTTTAATCTTTCAACAGATGCGGGCCCAGTATTTGGGCCAGAGTGACTCACCTGACTGATCTGGTGCCACCCATCCCAGGAGCGCCATCAGCTGGCAGCCATTACACACACCCAGACTGAAGGTATCGGGACGCTGGCGGAATCGCTCGAACTGCTCCTTGATTGTCGGATTGAAGAGAGCAGCTGCAGCCCAGCCTGGCACATAGAGTTCACATGTTTCAACATACACGCAATAGATGTAGACATTTCACAGTATATTCTTACTCTGTCAACTAAATGCCATTTAAAGACTGTATATTCTTTCTCATGCATCAGGTAAGCGACTCTTTGAAAGTAACTGTAAAGGCTGAGAAATCACCTTAGACACCTAATCCAAAACCTGAAATCACTCTAACCTTCAATGTATACATACTCTGTAAAGGAACTTGTGTGGTGACATAAAGTGCACAGATTTTGTCCTTGTGAGATCAACACAGTGTTATGAATTCATTATCAATTTAGTTATTCTTGAAAGAACAAAAATATTCATATACATGTACTAATTGCTTCTGTTCACTCAGCAGAAAAGGGGTACCCAGTGGGATAAAGTGATGTGACTTTAACTAGCGCCATACAGGCAGTTTGGGTTATCCTGGGTAATGATAATCAGATTGTATGGGCGGTTCAAACATGCATGTGTGTGGAGCAATGCACATGATAAATGGACTATTATTATTATTTATTATATATGTATACCGGTAGTCTATATCCTACCTCGCTCAGGGACTGGAAGTCTATATCTCAGAAATGCTAGGCCAGTATCATGAGTATAACTACTAAATCAAATTAACAGAAAAAACAAACTTCATAATAACGTATTATGTTAAAATTTGAACTTTTAAAGGGACTCTGTTGTTAAGTGAGCAAATAACATAAAACAGCTCAGACTTGGAATTATAACCTTCATCAACAACAATGATACCTTTAGCTGAACCCAATACATCTGCATAGCTGAAGCCCCTACAAAACACCAGCCCACGGAATGTGTCCAGGTTGATCTTGCCATCCTGCAGGTCCTGCATGTTGGCGTCCCACACCTCGAACCCGCTGACATGAGCGCTGCACACATCTCGCGGTCACCATTGCTGCCTTCCTCCCTCAACACAGCCACCATTGGCAGATGACCTGAGCATGGCAGAAACATTGTGACAATAAGGGCAACATTTTCACAAGCCTAAACATCAAAACACACTTCTTGTAATTTCAAATCCAGATCAAGTCCAGATTGAGACCAGACAGGACCAGGCAATCCAGTGATTACTGATTCAAACTGTCAATGACATGCATTCATCCAAAACATGGCGTCTGAAACCCTGGTCCATTACGATTGGCATATACTTCTGGTGAAATACTTCCAACCCAGAAATGCCCACAGTGTTATTATCCATTTGTCATTCTATGTGTGCGTCCTGTGTTTCCGCTGGCATTTTTTACAGCTGGACATTGTGACTGGCTAACATTTGAAATACTAGTCATTTTTAAATTTTACCAGTGAAGTGTTAGCGCTTTTCCTTGTGCATGAGACCTTGCACCCTAACAACCAATCAGAAATGTAGAGGATATCGCAATGCGTCAATGCCACTATTTTAAGCCTGGGGTTTTCCAAAACTGCTATTTTTTACTTGACAACACCTCGATGTCATTGTGAAAACTTAATCTTTCTCGAGGAGAAATACAATTGACTGGGGTAATAAGAAAATGATTTAAAATTTGCCGGACACGATGGCCGACAGCCTTTGAAATTACCGGACATTCTAACTTTGTACTGGTCAAAGTCTGGTAAATACCGGATAACAGAAACACTCTATGTCATCATTCTGTGTGACCTACCCAGTTCCTTGTTGATCTTGATGTCATCGTCTGGGCAGAAGGGGAGTTGGTAGGGCGGGAACCTGCGAGACTTGAGACCCTCCTGCTCCTGCTGCACAGTGTGGGGGTTGGCCTGGAGACGCTCCAACTGGAAACTTGTCTCCTCCCAGACGTCTCGCAGCACCATCATCGACTCAGTCAAGACCTCCTCATCATTGACGCTGATCACAATCTGTTGAAGAATAACAAGTAGGACATCCATTGGTTTTGTCGGTTGGTTTCTAATGAGGCACTCATTACTTTAACAATTACATTGCATAAATTATGAAATACACAATGCCATTTAGAAAGTGGTCAAATGTAACATATGTTATATTTGAGATTACACTTTCTTTGTAAAGAACAGATTCTAGTACTATTGTTGGATTGAGTCCCATCTGGGATTTGAACCCACACCCTCCGAGTCATGCACCAAATCACCAGCACACAAAGTCAGAAGACCTAGACCGCTCGGCCACCGCGGCTTGTGGAATTTACATTGTATAAATTTAACCAAACCTGAAGAGGTTTTAAATTCTTCGAAGAGAGTCGTCCTTGGGGTACATATTATGCATTTTCCAAGCTGAAAATGTCCTGTGACAGTTGTATCAATGTTTTTTGAATAAAAAGATTGTACAATAAATAAACTCTTTTATTTACTATACGGCCCCCACCTCACGGAGTTACCTCCCGTTGAGCATGCGCACCAACTGGGTAAGCACCTAGGCCCGTATCATCATTCCTTCTGCTGAATACATCAGTGAACAGAATTGCGGGGGGAGGCGGGAGGCCCTACCCAAGGGCGACTCTCTTGAAGAATTTAAAACCTCTTCAGGTTTGGTTAATTCTTCTTCATAGAGATCGTCCTTGGGGTACATATTATGCATAAACACAGACTCCCAAAGACCCGGAGGCCAGGGAGGAGGAATTCTGTCCAAGCACACACAAATAGCTATCGTTATGGGGAAAAAATTAACAGGCGCCATAACACTCACCTGTCACATGTCCCAGTTAAGCTTCTTGAGAGGCATTATGGGAGGAACTGACAGGGAGGATTTGTGCTCAAAGGCGACCTCCATATTTAGCATAGGCAATGCACATGAATACGAATGTCAACAAAGCCCCACCCACTGCGTGTCGATTAGTGAGCACCGTGAGGGGAATGTCAAAAACGCTCTCTGTCGACTAATTCTCCTGAGAGATCGAAATGTGGGTAGTTAGCTCCCAGTAGCAGACATGTCAATAACACACAGTATTGTACAGTAGCGTCAATAAACAAACCAATGAACCAAGACTCACTTTCGGTCAGGGTGGCAGGACACTGTCCACTGGAGAGAACAGAGCGGCCAAAGCTTCGCCGCGATTACGGGAATGTGTATCGAGCTGATAGTGCCGTATAAGCGTGCTTGGCGGCTCCAAATAGCGGCAGAGCAGATCTCTTCAATGGGGAGTGCGATGCAAAAGCTTTTGATCGCGGCTACTGCCCTGACCGAGTGAGCCTTCAACCCCTCAGGGGGAGGCTTGCCCTTAGCCTGATAAGCGGCACAAATACGAAACAAGCCAGCGAGACAAAGTCTGCTTGCTGCGCTGGCACACCAGCCTTCCGCCACCGTAACAACAGAACAGCTGGGTACCCGTGCAGTTCCCTGCGTTAAGTTTGATATAGACTTTGAGTGTCTTCACGGACATCCAGCGGGTGAGTGCTTTCGTAGGAGAGGTCCCGATGTGGAAGGCTGGGTAAGAGTGGGAAGTTCGATAGGAGCTGTCACATGGAAGCGTGATCGACCTTCCGGGTGATAAGTATCCGGGAGGCGAATACTGACCACGATCAGTGTGAAACACAGTCAGCGGGTCGGACGACATAGCATGTAAATCGCCGACCCTACGTCCAGATGTTACCGCCACCAGAAAAACAGCCTTCCAAGTTAACAACTGAATGGAAATAGCCGATAGGTGTGAGAAAGTTGGACCGGACAGCCAATCTAGCACAATTGACAAATCCCAAAGGTGGACTGGTTAAGCCTGAGAGCAGGTCGAACCCGTTCAGCCAGCTGGCGCTATGCGAGAGGGTGCTGCCCCAGAAGAGCACCATCGACAGGGGTGTGAAAAGTGGAAATAGCGGTGGAGTAGCCCGCGAATGGTGAAGCCGCCAGGCCTTCTTCCAAGCGAGCTTGCAAAAACTCCAATACTCGGACTAAATCCGCCAGAAAAGGGATCTGCAATCCCCTATCTGAACACCAGCGCGCATAAGCGGGACCACCTATCCTCATACTGAGCGTTTGTCGAATCCGCCTACCGAAGCCAGAATTGTGTCTGCAACTGCTGCAGGAATTCCAGCGTGCCTCGAGGCTAGACCTGACAGAGGCCAAGCCACCCACTGAATCCGTGGATTTGGGTGGAAGCTCCGTTCTGAGTGAGAATGTCGGTCGTAAAGGTAATAGAACAGGAGGCTGAGCCAGAAACCTGAAATTACGGAAACCAGCTCTGTGGCGGCAAAGCGGTGCCAGTAGCACAAGCAGCCGAGCTGGCTGGGTGGACAGCTGTGAAAGGACACGCGGGGAATGAGTGGTAGCGGCGGGAGCGCCAGAGCACTTTGCCCGTCAATCCAGCAGGAAGGCGTCGGCAGCCAAGCGCCCTGGGTCGGTATTCGAGAGCAGAACACGGGTGTCTGATTCGTCCCGCCCGGGCGCAAACAGATCCACCTGGAGCGACCCGTACAACTGGGAGATTACTCTGAAAATCTGCCTGTCGAGCATCCACTCGTGCGGGGCCAGGATCGGCGAAGGCGCGTCTGCTCGCCGTTCTCCAGCCCGGGGAGATAAACAGGGAGTACCTGACAATGCGCACTGGTAGCACCAGAGGAGAAAGTCCCGCCTCCTGAAGGCGCTGGGGACACCGTGCCGCCCTGCTTCAGGATGTATGCGACATGGCCGTCTGGTTGTCCAACTGAAGGCGGACTACCTGGTACGGACATGCTCTCTGAAGGCTTCGAAAACCAACGCACAGCTCTCAGTTCCAACGCGTTGATGTGAAGGTGGGCCCGACTTCGGACCAGAGTCGGACACCGACAGACTGCCCAGAACACCCCAGCCCGTGAGGGGCGCATCGGTCTGAACTGTGAGAGCTGGCGTCGGGATTTCAAAGGGGATCCCCTGGTGAGATTCCGACATTGGTCCACCACTGAAGGTGAGGTGTCAACCACCGGGGACTGTGAGACTGCGCTCCAGGTCCTCCGTGTGAGCCCACAGCCTTGCCAAAGCTTGCTGTATAGAGCATCCTCAACAGCGCCCGCCACACTACAGAGATCGTCGCCGCCATATGGCCCAGTAGGCGGAGCCAAGTCCGTGCTGGTGCCTGGGGCTGGGAGAGAGCGAAGATACCACCTCGAACTCTGGTGATCGGTCGGGCGACAAAGGAAGCGAGATCCTTGTTTGTTTGGAATCGGCGCCCCAAGAAAAACCAAGTCCTGGGTGGGTACCAGGTCGGATTTCTTGAGGTTGATGATCCACCCCAGTCGAATTAGAATGTCTATCACTGTGTGAGTAGCATCTAGACTTCGCTGGCTGTGTTAGTGCTCGAGCAACCAGTCGTCGAGGTAAAGGGTAACAGCGCCTTCCTTGCGGCGGCGAGGGGTAGCGGGACTAACATGAGCTTGGTGAACACCCTTGGGGCGGTCGATATGCGAAGGGAGCACCCTGAATTGGTAACACATCCGTCGTAAAGAGAACCCGAAGGTACTGCTTGAGCGATGGATGTATGGGCACATCTGAATACGCATCCTTTAGGTCGATTGGCGTGAGCCAATCGCCGGGCTGAACAGATGAGATCACCGGCGCAGTGTCTCCATCTTGAAGGATGGTACTTCTAGCATCGCGGTTCAACCCCTTGAGGTTGAGAATGGGGCGGAACCCGCCGTCTTTCTTCGGGGCGAGGAATGCGTGGAGTAAAATCCGCCTGTTCCTCTCCCGGTGGAATGCATTTCGATTGCGGACTTGTCCAGCAGAGCCTGAACCGTCGCGCAATATGTCCGCCCTTGCCTGACATGGCGGCACGGAGTGCGGCGTATGCGGTGAAGTCGAGGCGGACCACCGCTTCCACAGTGGTAAATGGCCTACACTGATGGTGGACAGCACCCAAGTGTTTTGTGTAGCCTTCTCCCATTCCGGCAGGAATAGAGAAGCTGACCTCCCACTGGGACATGGGGTAAGAAGCGTCGCGTCGTCGAGTAAGCGGAGCTGACTGGGCGTGACACCGCGGCGAGCGACAGCCTGATGGGTTAGCGGGAGGTCGGGGCAGACCTCCAGCGCCAGCGAAAAAAGGCTGGGAGCTAGTCGAGGACTGCTCCTTGCCCTTACCCTTGGCGGACCTGTGCCTCCGCTTACCTGCCAAGCGGCGAAGCCAGCCAGCGGACTTCGGGTGTAGGCTGCACCCCAGCGGAGGAAGGTGGAGCGGGGCCGAGGCGAGACACCAGCGGGTGCTCCAACAAGGCCTTAGAGTCCTTGAAGGAGGTAGCTGCAGCGGCAGCCTCCCGTATGACCTGCTGTGCCCCTGGAAGAGGTGGCTCCCCAGGCGGAAGGGAGGGCCAGCAAGGTCTGCTGTGTAAGCTGCCGAGTAGCGAGGCGTCGACAGCCACAGCTTGCGCATCCCCATGACTGCGCACATCACCGTCGGCGCAGCGGACCGCCAAAAGAGTAGCGAGGTGGGCCTGTACTTCAGATAGCTGACGGAGCAGCACGACATGCGGCGAAACGTCACCAGCATGCCCCTCCGCCTCCAGGGCCGACCTCTGTATCGAGGAGAGGTAGGCCTCATGGACCACCACCCTGACCTGCTGCATAGCGTTCCTGTAAACCTCCTCGTAGGTACGTAGTACGGTATGCATGCCGCAGGGGGGCGCCCGCGAGGGCAAACGGTGGAGTAACACGCCCTTGCCGAGCAGCGGAGCTGCTCCGGAGGAAGCCGAGCCTCCCCCCAAGGCGACTGAAGTAAAAACACACTCGTCCACGATAGGTACCACGAACAGGGAATCCTCCCCAAGCTGGTATCTCCTGACAAGCTCCGGCAAGTCAAATCGGAGGCGAGAACCAGACAAGAGGGGATCCACCACGTCCTGTACTAACGAGGGCAGAATGCGGAGCTGCGTCTGCGTAGGCTGCCCTAGGGGCAAAGCGCCTCGCCTGGCAAAGCGGAACTCAGCCGAGTCGAGCTGCTAACAGGCACAGCGGCCTGGGGTAGGTACTTCGGCAATTCTTTGCGGACCTCCCGCAGAGCGAAGAAGCGGAAGGCACCCTCATGCTCCTCTACCTCCCCAGTATCCATCGACTCGGCGCCCGAGCCCGAGTCTGAGGCTGGGTCTCCTCGCAAAGAGGACCCGAACCCCGACCCGGTGGACTGCCTAGCACTAGGAACAACAGAGAGGGAGGAGCAGACAGAGTGCCCAGCGTCAGTGCCTGCAAGCGTGCGGACCCGGTCGAGGCGCTGGAGGCATACCAGGCAGAACTGGTGCCTCGGCTCTCATGGGGCGGGGAGGCGCAGGGATCGGAACCCCAGGAATCATCAGCGGTCCCTGCGCCAACTCCGAGAGGGGGACTGGGAGCACCTCCCTCTCGGGGCAGCAGCCGGCGTCGGACCCGAAGCCAGAGGCAGCGGGTCGACAGGCGCCTCAAGGCCTAGGGATCGAGCGGCTCGGCGATCCCCAAGACTCTCTCCCATGCGCTCAGAGTGGGCGAGGAACTCCTGCGGAGTCCTCCAACCGACTCATGAGCGAGGGACCTCGCCGAGTCTGCGTGCTGCTGAAACATCTGTGTAATTAAAGTCATGTCAAAACGCTACCAGGGGCGGGAGCAGGGACTGGCTCGCGGGATTTTTCCCTTTAGACTTTTTAGCCTTAGACGGGGGGACCTGGGTAAGTTCCCCTCCCGCCTCCCGCATCTCTCTATAAAAGAGAGTGTCGGCAGCCCTCCGCTTCTGAGCCCGGGGGGAAAACCCCATACAGATTTCACAGGTTTCGGCCTCATGGCCGGTCTTCTCTAGGCAGACAATACATTTGTCGTGCCTGTCGGCCCGTGGAATACTTTGTCCACAGACCGAACAGGAGGAAAACGCCTGAAAGCAAACACGCAAGCATGTAGCTAACGGCGGACCAGCAGCATATATACACGTAGAAAACATTGAAAAATACGTGAAGGCTACCACGGGAAGAAATAGTTGGTTCAATACGCAATATTACAACCACGTGGCACGCTAAACTTCCCGCCATGGCAGAGCAACATGTGCGTAAACCACGGGAAAGTTAGCGTAAAATAATTAATACAAAGTCACAATTATGAAACAACCGACCGCAAAGCTTTACTGTTCCTTTGCAAAGGTAATAAAGACCATACATACAGGTGGTGTTCCAGACATTATTCTTTTTCTTTCGGAAAAGGTCAGCTCTGCGCGACACATACGTCTGTTAGAGGCAGTGACAGCAGAAGGAATGATGATACGGGCCTAGGTGCTTACCCAGTTGGTGCGCATGCGCAACGGGAGGTAACTCCGTGAGGTGGGGGCATTATAGTAAATAAAGAGTTTATTTATTGTACAATCTTTTTATTCAAAAACATTGATACAACTGTCACAGGACATTTTCAGCTTGGAAAATGCATAATATGTACCCAAGGACGATCTCTATGAAGAAGAATTCAATAACTTCCTCCTCATCCCTGTCAGGACCTCTAGAATCACACCAAGGTCTTCACAGAACAGGAAGTCGACAACCTCATCTGGAACACAACCATATCCTACTACCACAACACAGAACATCATGAATGTACAAGTACTTCCTTCCTTCACAGAAGAAATGATAAAAATATCTCCAAATTATTGATCAGATATAACATGCATTATTGCAGTGGGAATGTTTGGATATTTTGTAAAAATTTGTATTTCAGGAATATCAATTCCATTCCAAAGGAGTACCTGGTTTCAGTTAAATTTCACTAATAAAATTGAGAAACTACTTGTAAAAATGAACAATGTTCACAGATAACTGTGTATCAACACAGCAAAAGACTAGCAACCCACGTTGTCTTAAAAACAGCAACAATATGCATAGAAACATCATAAGTAGCAACACACATAAAAACAACTGTGATCATGTGACTTATTCTATAGTGATCTAGACTCTTCAAAAAAAGAAACTTGACATGCTGTTTTGGAGGTTACTTACTGAGTGCATATAACTGATTCAAACATGACATCATTGCTCAGTTACAGTAAAATCAGCACTCTACAAATTTCAAAACGATTATCCAGAAGTGTTTGAGTAAACCACAGCGGGGCTATGAAAGCCACTTGGTCAGAGCAAAATGTCAGTATCTGGTGTGACCACCATGAGCATCGATAACAGCTTGCAATTTGGTAGCGACGGCCCATAGAAGAAAGGAGATGCCGAATGCTGTCTTGAGGAATGTTTTGATACTCTTGCTGAATTGCTGAGTGCAGTTCTTGTAGTGTCTGAGGTGGCGGATTACGCTGGCGCAAGCATCGTTCAAGAGTATCCCATAGATGTTCAATGGGGGACAAATCTGGTGATCGAGAAGGCCAAGGTAACAACTGAACACTGTTTTGCTGGAGGCAGACCTGTCAAACACGTGCAACGTGAGGCCGAGCATTGTCATGCTCCAAAGATCACGTTGATGTAGGGAACGGCGTGCCGTTGAACTGGTCTTCTGGCAAAATCAGGCTTTCCATAGCCCATTGTGCACTGTCTGGTCGGAGATTCGGAGCAGTCCAGGGATTTGGACTGTTGTGGATGATGCGACCCTGGTGTTTGAGCGAAAATGTCTCAACCAGATGTAGCGATCCTGGGCAGCGGTGGTAACTCCAGGTCGACCTGACCTTGGTCTATCATTAACACTCCCAGTATTTTGGTATCGGGACCATAGGTTTGAGATGGTCTGTCTGGACACGCTGAGGTGCCTTGCCACATCATGCTGCGATGTCCATCCTTGCAAACGGCCGATGGCGTTGTGTCGTTGAGCTTCTGTCAGTGTTTTTTTCATTCTCGTGTTGTCGTCTATAGTGGCTTACAGCAATGCATGAGGAGTACCATTAATTGATGTGGCTTTTTAAAGCCTACAGTCATAGGCTTCAGCTCAGGGTCATACACAATTTCATGATACTCGTGCGTTTCATGTTGGATGCGCTTTTGCGATTCACTACAGACGTGAGTGTAACGTTACGTTTCTTTTTTCAAATGTTTTGTCATCGGCAACCATTCCCCCACATGCTGGGATTCAGCATGGATTGGTTTGGGTCCAATGTCAAGTTTCTTTTTTTAAAGAGTATATTTACAGCAACAAACAAAACATTGTTTTTTTTCAATTTGAGTAGAATCAGTGTTCAGTGGTGCTCATAGACCCTACAGGCTTTCAAGACATGTTCGAACTGTGAAGATCCGGGTTAGAATTGGACTTCAGCAACCCATGCTTGTCGTAAGAGGCGACTAATGGCATCGGGTGGTCTTGGTTGACACGTGTCAATATATCCCAATTGCGTAGATTGATGCTTATGATGTTGATCACTGTGTTGTCTGGTCTGGACTTGATTATTTAGAGACCGCCGCCATATAGCTGGACTATTGCTGAGTGCGGCATTAAACACCAAAACCAGCCAATCAAGAAATGTTCAAAATATAACGTTGACAAATGCATTTATACAATCCCAATATAGCCTAGAAATGTGCATCACTTTCATGCACATTCTTGAAGCATAAACTTTTTTCTTAACACATAAAGAGTTATTATTTTTTAAGAAATCAATAAGTTTATCAAATCACATTTAAAAAAAAATTGCCTGTCAGTTTGTAATAGACAACAATGGATGACATCCTTTCAATAAATCGTTTAAACTACGACTTGCAGTGACTGTTGTGTTAGACATACACCTAATGTTTCATACTGTTATACACAACAAAGTCTGTGTGCCTCACCTTCATCCTCAAGAGTATGTAAACTGACGTCAATGCCGCAGTTGCCAGCAAATGCCATCTCCAGCAGGCAGGTGATCAGCCCACCGTCACTCACGTCATGACCCGCCGTGACAAGCCGCTCTGAAACACGTAGTGGAGAACTTTCCATTGAAAACATAACCAGATAATGCACACTAATAAAGTTTTAAATATCAAACATTTTAAACATTAAACATCACAGCTGATTTCCAGGAATAATACAAGGGAGATAATGCATAGTATCCAGATGGATAATGGTTTTCCATCATTTTCCATCATCCACCCACCCGTCGATCCATCCATGTAACTGAGTAGATGTTATTACTGCTTTGTAAATATTTTAGTAACATCTTTTAATTTGTCTTGTTTGTCTCTTTCAGGTGCCTGTTTTAAACTTGCTGCCATCACTTGAGCAGTACACAGAAAGTAGCAATAGATTTACCCCAGCACTTACATAACTACTAACTTCACAATAGCCACATTCACTCTGTTGACAAGAGCATTGCTTTGTCTGCCCTTTTCTATCTCCTTTTTATGCAAGTCCAATTGCCTACAACTCAGCTTTGTTTCATCAAGCAGTTGGTCAGATACTCCCTTTCCTACAAGTCAGCTGTTCCATATAATTTGCTCAGCAAATAGTTTGCATTTCTTGGAGACCAAGTGGCTGAGGATTTCTCTCTCTATGTATATATGGTTAGTTTGTGTTTTGGCTCCTACTTATGCATTCATATGTCTGTGTATTTAATAGTCATTAATTGATTAGATCTATTTCTCATTTAGACTAATTTGCAATTTAAATAGAACTTGAGTTATAAACAAGTCATTCACAATTAGCATACAAGTATACTTACAGTCCGTTTGAGTCAGAAACGGACCGATGAATTGCAAATTTTATCATTGTACAAAATTGCCACATAAATATAAATAGTACACATGTTAATCATTTACTAATACCCAACAGCTTTCTTATATTTGAAAATTATTTTCCGGACTCCACCAAAAAGTTGTTTAAGAAACTATCATCATTGAAAACGGAAAAGTTGTTATATGTCGTGGCGAGGGTGAAACCGCTTGAAGCGGAACAGCCAGTCATGGCGGGGGACATCTCAAAATCTATTCCGGGAAACCTGTCGGTTCCTCGTCCGTCGTGAGTGTCATAGTCCGCGACTTAAAGGGGATGACAAGTGGTGCCACAGTTGCCTGTTGTAACCCATCCCGAGACCAGTAACCTTGTTCAATGGCGTTAGCTACCTTGTAGACACAGTTTGCCAAGTTTCAGTCGTGATTTTTGTTAAAGGGATTCCTAACCCAAACCTCTCGATCCACGTAATCTAAAAGTTGTGTTTGATCTGGCAACATCTCCTTTGACAATACCTATATCATTTCAATGGGGTTAAAGGTCACAGTGATAGGGTGGAAGTCAGCAGAATATCGTGACCCTTACTTTTTATGTAACTGTCAACTTTGTAGAAAGGTTCACCTTTGTGGGTTTTATGATCTCATATAGCTGAGGCCGTTGCCTTTGAAGGTCGATGCGATCTGAAATTTGTCGAGCCATGATATCATATCACCTTTTAGACTGTTCGATGTCGGGGCTTTACTGTCGGGGTCCTGCACGCTGTGGTATGGGGCATTGTCCATTACGATAAAGACTTTCTGGTAGAGCTGGTACCAACTTGTTTTAACCCAATCGAGAGGAAAACCACACCATTCATCTCGGAATGGTAGTCTCTGTTATCTGTGGACTTTGCCCTGAATACCAAATTAAGCAGCCTGGGAGAAAGCCTTTGCTGGAACAACCAGCATGGAGAATGATTAGTCTCTCTCCTTTCCCTAGAGGCAGCTTTCTCACGTGACCCCTTATCACCCCATCGGGTACCCACTGACTGCTGGCGGTGTTGAGGCACTGACCTAGGTGGCGTCAAATTACACTGGCTCGAACCCTTCCTCGCTTCTTCTTTATAACCCTGAGAAAATTATTTCTCAAGCGTTCATCAGGGCGTTCACAGAGTACTGACCCATTTTCCCCTGAAATTTTCTTATAGTGATACCCGAAAGAGTGTAAGAGTCGCCAGTGTGTACTTTGATACTCTGAGGTTGTGTTCTTGCTTCAAATGCTTTTTAAAATTTTCAGCGACATGTATTTGTTTTCAGAATAGAGCTTGTTGATAGACTGCCTTACAAGGTTCTTTGAAAGTTGTCCAAATGTTTTAATTTGTGTGATTTTGACCACGACCCTACCTGCTTCAAGCATCACCCTCACAATGTTTGTGTTCCAGAACATTTGTCAGTACCCTTGCTGATACTCCTTAAGCTTTTGCTGCCCGCCACGAATTTATTAATGACATAAAATGGTTTGCCCTTTCGGCTTCAGCACGGAAAAATCATTACACTTTAATCATCAACTGTTTCCGCGTCAGCATTCAACTTCTTTTTTTATCAGGCATGTGTATCCCGTGCACGACGAGATAGTGGCTGTTCCGCTTCTGCGGTTTCACCCCGCCGCAACAGATAACAACTTTTGCATTTTCAATGATGATAGTTTCTTAAACACCTTTTTTGGTGGAGTCCGGAAAATTTTCAAATATAAGAAAGCTGTTGGGTATTAGTAAATGATAAACATGTGTACTATTTATATTTATGTGGCAATTTTGTACAATGATAAAATTTGCAATTCATCGGTCCGTTTCTGACTCAAACGGACTGTAGATGTTTAGATATTTTACAAGCTTTGAAGTTCTGTCAATTATTCTTAACTAAATTTATGCTCAAATCTACCTATAAATCACTGCAAAAATATCACTAACTACATGAGTGAATGCATGTAGATTAAAGCCGCGGTCACATCTTACGGTCATGAACGTTGTTGACCGTAATCATTTGAACGCAGTTCACCGCAGTGCCACTACGGTGAACTAGACTGAAATGGTGAAGTAGGTTGGAAGTAGTAGTAAATCGTAGTGCCATGTTACCACAGTGTACTACAGTCAACAGTGCAGTAGGGTCGATTACCGTCTACTAGGGAGAACTAGGGTCAACCATGTTCAACCACGTTCAAACTACGGTACTAGTACGGTCTTGGCATTCAAGCTAACCGTAGAGATATATTGAACATGTTGAAATTGTTTTTGTTCTAACCACTGCTTAATCCTGGGTTTGCTGAAGTTTAAAGTATGCTTATAACTTAACCAAACCTGAAGAGGTTTTCAATTCTTCGAAGAAAGTCGTCCTTGGGGTACATATTATGCATTTTCCACGCTGAAAATGTCCTGTGACAGTTGTATCAATGTTTTTGAATAAAAAGATTGTACAATAAATAAACTTTTTTATTTATTATACGGTGGCCCCACCTCGTGGAGTTACCTCCCGTTACGCATAGCAGCACCAACTGGGTAATCACCTAGGCCCATATATCATCATTCCTTCTGCTGAATAAATCAGTGAACAGAATTTGGGAGGCGGGAGGCCCTACCTCAGGGCGACTCTCTTCGGAAGAATTGAAAACCTCTTCAGGTTTTTGGTTAATTCTTCTTCATAGAGATCGTCCTTGGGGTACATATTATGCATAAACACAGACTCCCAAAGACCGGAGGCCAGGGAGGAGGGAATTCTGTCCAAGCACATACAAATAGCTATCGATCAATTGAAAAATGTAACAGATGCCATAACACTCACCTGTCACATGTCCCAGTTTCGCACTTCCACGAGAGCATTGTGGGAGGAGAACTGACAGGGAGGATTGTACTTTAAAGACGACCTCAGAGGTTCGCGAGATATCAAGTCGCACATGGTGCTTAAATGTAAACAAAGCCCCACCCACCTTGTGTGTCGATTAGTGAGCACCGTGTAGGGGAATGTCAAAACGCCACAACCGACCTAAATAATTCGTAGAGGATCGAAATGAGGTTATTTAGCTCCCATTAGCGGACATGTCAATAAAACTCAGTATTGACCAGCAGCGCCAACAAAACCAATGAACCAACACTCACTCGGGTCAGGGTGGCAGGACACTGTCCACTGGAGAAAACAGAACGGCCAAAGCTCATACGATTACGGAATGTGTATCGAGCTGATAATGCCGAATAAAGCGTGCTAGGCCGCTCCAAATAGCGGCAGAGCAGATCTCTTCAATGGGGAGTGCCGATGCATAAGCTTTGATGGTGTGGCTACTGCTGACCGAGTGAGCCTTCAACCCTCAGGGGAGGCTTTCCCTTAGCCTGATAAGCTGCGCACAAATACACCTAAACCAGCCAGCGTAGACAAAGTCTGCTTGCCCGAAACCGCAGGCTGTCTCCCTCGCCAAGAGGACCCGAACCTCGACCGTGGGCGGCCTAGCACCAGGCACAGAAGAGAGGGAGGAGCAGACAGAGCACGCCGCACCGCCATCTCGCAAGACACAGACCTCGTCCGCAGACGCTGGAGGCAGACCAGGCAGAACTGGTGCCTCCGCTTCATGGGGGGGATCGGCGAGGGACCAGAACCCCAGGAATCTTCAACGGACCCTGCGCGCCAACTCCTCGGTGAGGGGACTGGGAGCTTGCCTCCCCTCAGGGCGGTGCCGAAGGCCCGACCCGGCCAGAGGCAACGGGTCTACAGGACGCCTCAGGGTCGAGGGATCGAGCCGGGCTTTCGGGGATCTCACCCCCAGACTCTCCTCACTTCCACGCCAGAGGTCATGCGAGGAACTCCCGCGGAGCCCTCCAACCGCCTCCTCATGAATCCATGGACCTCATCGAAGTCCGGTGCGTGGCTGCTGGAACATCTTTACCACTAACGACATGTCAAAACCGCTATACTAGGAGCGCAGAGAAGGCGACTGGCTGATTTTTTGCCTTGCCTACGCAGGCTTTTGCTTTTGATGGGGACCTGGGTCCGTTCTCCTCGCTCCGCAGATTTCTATAAAAGAGAAAATCGGCCTCTTCTCTTCTGGGCTCGGGAAAACCCCATACATATTTCCACAGGTTTCGAGATATGGTCCGCATTTTTCCAGACAGACAATACATTTGTCATGGCGGTCAGCTTCTTGGAATGCTCTTCTGACCACAGAGCGTTAACAGGAGGAAAACGCCTGAAAGCAAACACTAAGCATGTAGCTAACGCAA